TCAATGTTTTTTAACCATTTTTTTGTTAGATAAATTTAACATTGTACTTATGTACATATCTCCTAAGATTTTGACAAAAGGCTCAATTTCAATTGCACTCTCATCGTTACTGGAATTCGCTTCATCGTCTATCTCACTAGTATTCACTTTACACTTGAAAGTATAACATTTTCTTTTATACTAAAAATTGTTTTCATATCGTCGTTTTGAATTTATTTAAAAAGTTTACTAGAGGCAGTCCTTTTGAGTCGACTCGGAATGGATATATTGAGTCTGACTCATAATTACGAGTAGAGCCTAAGAACCACACGAAAAATACTTTTAATATGTAATACAGATAAATGTTATTCATTCCCTGATAGGACTAGTTAAAAACTATCCCAATCTCATTAAACCTCTTGATATTAGATATGAACTTTTTAAGAGCAGGCCGGGACTGTTAATTTTGCATGAGTCAAATTTCGGATCGACTATTGATTGATTGATTGATTTGACTTTTGGAGTTAAGTCGAACCGGATAGAGCTTTTAACATCCCTAACTCTTGTATGTTGTAAACATTTCTCAATTTTTTTTAGAAAAGTTTACAACGTATAATCAACAACTAGAATAATAAAAAAAAAATAATATATTTTGTTTATTTTAAACTTAAGCTCAGTAATGTAACTTTATCTAAGATCATTACATCGAAGGCCAGGGCTTTACTGTCACGTGATTTTCAATAGTATTTTGAACAAAAAATTTAATTTATGTTAGGGTTTTGGCATTAGTTAAAAGTTAGAAAGAGGCATACTAAAGCAATTTGTTTTGTATTTTTACGTTACACCAGATATTGACTTTTAATTGGTTAATTGATGTCGGAAAATCACATGACAGTATAATCCCTGGTGTGACTCGAAGATTCAGCGAGGTTTTCTTACAATATGCATCCATTAGTGCTTTTCCATCCTAGTCCAAGGTCGTTGCATCGAAGATTCAGTGTGACATTCTCGTAAAGTGCTTTTCTTCCTTTTGATCTAAAATTCCTATTTTGAAAAGTTAATCAGTTAGTGCTTTTCCCCTTTTTAATCAAAATTATTTTATCGAAGATTCAAAGGAAATCAGTATGGTATCTCTTGCTTCCTTCTGATCCAGAATTACTATTATTAAGATTCTGCATGGTGTTCTTGAACAGTTCATCTGCTTGTGCTTTTCATCCTTATGATTCGAAATTATTACTTTAAAGATTCAAATCTTTCAACATAGTATTCTTGTTACAGTAAGTAAATTTATTAACTCGTTTAAATTTTCCGATTTACACATTTATGAGCAACATACCAGGGTGAAGACTTTTTTTTTGATCTTCAGGGCTATGCTAGTTATTTGGAAAATTTCTTCGAAAGTTCCAATGCTAATATTCATATGCTTTCTTGAATTTTTAGAATTTTATTGTTATCTTGGACTAGAATATCTGAATTTATCGTATTAGGTAAATAAAGTGAAGTGAATGTCGTAATTTCAATTAAATTTATGAGTGGGTTTATATTGTTGGAGAAAGTTTCATTACATTGAGATGTTACTTCAAATAGGATAGTGTTAACCCAAAATTTGTTAGAAGACTATCTTGATGATTTGAGAAAACTTCACTGCCTTGAGATAATGTTTCAATAGGATAGTGCTGACCCAAAGTTTCGTTAGAATACTATCTTGATGATTTGAGAAAGTTTTGCTATCTTGAGATGATGTTTCAATAAGATAATGTTGACCCAAAGTTTCGTTGTTTCTGGTCGAT